CTTTTTTCGTTTTTTTCTCTAATGGACAATTTGAGTTGATTCTTCTGTGTATGATAGAAAAATATGTTTACATTTACTTCGCTAAGTTAGCCGAACGATGACTGGCAAGTATTGAGTGGAGAGGTGGTCTCGCTCAGATGAATTTGAAATTACAAGCGTATATTCAAACAATATTATATGTGGTTCAGAAAATATAAATTAGTCTGTTTGCAATTCATCGAATTAAAGCGAGTGATAGAAAAATACTAATTAATATTTTAGTTTTTTTCTTAAATAGAGAGATGTGAAGAATTGATGAGCATATATTTTCTCTTGCGTCTGCAGAAAGTTTGTGACGGCCTAGGAATGTATTTCAAACGTAGAAATACATGTACAGTATTATGGTTTCCTTCGACATTTTTTCATACTCATTCATTATCTATCAGGTTATACCTTTTCTTCTTCTCTGTGCAATAATCGAAACAGTAGATTCTATTTTCACTGACCAAATACTTCACTACCTAATCGTCGTACCTCATTCTCTTTCAGATTTACAAATCACAGACATTTTACGATGTCTCTTTCCAAGAAAATATTGATCATTGTATTACTCATATCCAATTTCAATGTTCATGCATATAATCGAAGACATATGAAACGTCTTGAGCAGTTTCTTCGTGGTTTGCAGTACGAGTTCAATGAACGTACAATTCACAGCAAGAGTAAGTTTCATAGAATCGACATAAACGCTCATCGAACTATTGCCTAGGACTTGAGCCTGCGGGTGATTGCACAGCAGATATCTTGGAGGGATATCAATGGGATGGACAAGACGCCATGAATGTGCCCGGCGTTGATTCGCATCAAGTCTGTATGGATAATTGTGATATGAATGAGAAATGTATGGGATGGTCATACAAAGCAAATACTCGAATGTGTTGGGGTATGCACTCGATAACCGGTGTTATCGCAGTACCAGGCGTCAATTCAGGATCATGTGTTGGTGAGTGATAAATAGAACTGATTTTGTTTTATTTTTCAAATGAATGGACACATCAGTTTGCGAGTGTTTCTTTTCGTAGGACAAAATTTAAAAGCAAAATGTGAAGAGAAGAAAGAAGGACAATATCTTTCTAACACCATTAAAACACTCGAAAACATCGACACAGTGGAGATTTGTATGCAACGTTGTGACGAAGAAAAACTATGCTTTGGATGGCTCTATGATGAATATGGCAAGAACTGCTATCTTGCTAGCTCTTTGGGTGAATTTCAACCAGGCCCAGGCTTTTTAACTGGATCGTGTATTGGTAAGTGTCGAATTGAACGTCGAAGTTTCGTCTAACGATCTTTTGCCTCTCGATTTAGCCACACAAAAGCGTATTCGACTTGCTGATCCTTTGAAAGTCTTTCGAAAAGAAATCCTCCAACGACACAATATCAAACGAAAAGATCATTGTGTTGGTGATTTAGCACTCGATGATAATCTCAACACAGTTTCGCAACAGTTTGCTGAGAAACTGGCTGCTGCTGATGTCACTCCACCTGACTATGATGCAACAAAGATGCAAGCAGTCTACTACGGTAAAGGCGATATCGCTCTTAATGGTTCGTATACATGTATATCCTCCCTATCGAATCAAGAAGAATTCTCTTCGATTTCTAGGTGCTATCGTTGTCGATAACTTTTACAACGAGAACAAATTCTACAACTATGAGAAACCGGACTTTTCATCAACGAGACATTTTCCAAAGATCATCTGGAAAAGTTCGAGCAAGTTGGGAGTTGGTCGAGCATTCACAGTCGATAGGAAGTCGATGTTTGTTGTGATCACTTATGATTCAACTGACACTCTTACCGATTCATCGTACCAAAGCAATGTGCAAAAGAAATGTTCATAATTTTGCATATGAATATCGGAGGCTTTAAAAGACAAAAACTTTAATTTTCCGACTAATTCATCTAACGATTTTGATTTTTGATAATTTAGTTTCTCGTTCGTTACGAATAAAATGAGACACGCACATTCAATTTGACGAAGTAAGGGCGATGAGAAGGAAAAGAACATGTTTACCTTATTCTTTGTCTTTACCTTTCTGAATCACCTAGTCATATGTCGACATTCAGACCTGATATATGATAGAGATCTGAGTAGAAATTAATATTGTCGTTGTTTGTATCAATATTGACAAAAGATTTTATGAATGAGAGAACAAATGTATAATGATAATTAACTAACGTGCTGAGAGTTAACGAAACATGGATGTGTACATGACTGTCTGTTGAACTTGGAGACAATTAACATCAATACTGTCTTCTCATACAGTTAATAGAGTATCACAAAATTTTCTAACTGAAAATTTAATCTTAGAGTATCGAAGACGTTTCCTAATCCATGAATTCTGGCCATTGTACAGATATTCTCTTTCATAAATCTGGTTTTCTCGGTAATCTATATAAACTTCGTTCATTTCGACTTGGTCAGAAAAACGATGGTCTCACGAACTGTACCCAGTCATGATGTTTTAGCCTTGTCTGATCGAGCTGAATTAATCATTTGCAAGGATCAAAACGGCCGATTTTATCTTTTCAGAGCACACGGAACTATTCCGAATGAAAGCTTCGACTTGTTCTCGAAAAGCATCAGCTCCTACTTGAGTCAGAATAAGAAGAAAAATCGATTCTCTAGACAGAGAAGCGAAGGTGCACTCCTTAATTCATATGTGATATCGAACTCTATCGATGTTAGATACGAACTATCGTATTGGTTTGGCGATAACTCCAACCACGAACTTTCCTATATTGTACTGAAAATTACTTGCTAGGTTTTGCGTCGTATCAAAAAGAGACAACTCTCATGAATACAAACAATCTGTTCTTTTTCGATTGATCGGTACTTCATGGTTATTATGCAAGGTAAAAGTCAACAAGACTTATATAACATAATTAATATTTAATATCCTTCGTATTTGGAAAAAGAGCATGGCAACTCGAGAATACAATAATTATTATTTTGTATCTAGGTCGATGACATAAAAGTTCGTCTCGTACGTCGTTTCTTGTGAATTATCAGAGATGAAATGATCAGATCTTCTTATCTTTGTTTCAAAGTTTAACATGTCCGACAGAATATGTCACTATTTACCTGCTGCTTTCATTCGAGCAGTATGTAAGGTAAAATTAACATGAAATCTGTACGAAAACATATTTCAGTTTCATCAAGAAGACTTCTCAGAAGTTTCTAACTAGAGTAATTGATTTATTGCTTAGAAGAAAAAAAAAGAATCAGTCATGAAAGTCAGTGGACTTTTTAAGCACAACCATATATTTTCTTCACTTTGTAAACGTCCGAATCAGTCAACACATTTCCTGTTCCCATCGTGTATCGCCAATCTTTTGAAACTCCATTAGCAGTTACCATCACTGGTAAACCATTCGTACTGAAGCTATTGTAAGTATAATGCATGATCGAATCTAAAATCAATTCAATTCTATTTTCAACATCATGAGATCCTACTCTTACCGAAATCATATGGTAATCCAGCACTTTGAAAAGCAGCTGCTGGGTTTTTATCGAAATTGTGTTTGTTTTCTAAACGATATTGATTGTGGAGATGTACAAAAAACAGTAACTATGAAATCGTACTTGGTTCGATGTTTTCATACAAGACTTGAATGTATTGATCTCTGTCTGGACGTGTTTGCTCATGGTTGAAACCGAGTGAATGAAGAAATTCATGGATGACTGTATCTTTTGTCATACAACCACTGCGATCAAGTGAGAGCTCTTGAAGACCACCACTCCATGATTTTCCAACGCCAGACCAACATCTATGAATAGTCATTGTATCATATAGATAGAGTCTTTTTCAAAGCCATGATGATAAAGCCTTACCCATCTTTACTGAGAACACGCACATAATCTGGTTGAGTGGTACGAGGAACAAAACGGATACAGTTGCCTGTTTTTGTAGTGAGCTCTGTGAGACTGTCCACGATCAGTTGCTTTTCATTGGGTGAATAGGCATCATCGATTTCGTAAAAAACTGTATTGTCGGGCCACTTCTGAATACCTTCGAGTTCGGCGCGTTTCGTGTGTTTGTAGTGACATTGAAATGCGTGAGATGAAATAATCAAACAACAAACGATAACGGATAAAATTCGCAACATTTTCTAAAATAGAAACTGAAGTGTAAATTCTGTTGAGCAATATCAACTTATGAAGAGACAGCAAATGAGACGTAGCTTGTGACAAAGTAGGATCAGAAACGATCGCGAATCACTGTGTAATATACTTTGTTACGATCGTCTGACTTTATTTCGCGACGAAGAGAAGGCGAGAAAGAGAGAGAAAATGAGAAATTATAGCCCCAATTTCACAAGCGATTCACCAACTTGGATTCTTAAGGGTGTGATTAAAAATATGTTTACAATATTTTAAAAAAACATTGATGAGAGAGACAATTTATTTACAAAGAACGACATATTTTGACGCCACGATTTCGTTGCGCTTCACTGATCAAAATGTATTTGGATGGAGGGAGATACTCATTCAATATTTGACATTATCGATTGTATATCAAATGTCACGAAAAAATAAGTAGAACACCCCAACTCGTCGTGTAGGAAGAATGAATGATAAACAACGGTCAATATTTTATTTATTCAGATAAATTGGCGGGTATGATTTTTATATTTACTAAAAACAGAGGGAAAGGAGGGGGAGACTCAAGAGAATACCTCTCTTCTTAGGCTTTCATAAAAAAGTTGTTTGTCACGGTTGAAAAGTCTGTACAAAAAAATATATAACTACATTGATACTGCTTTTCGCTATATTTCTCTCCTTTTTTTCTAGTTAACAGATTACACGTCTCCTCTCATATGCGCCATATATATCACAGTAGATTCTATGCTCACTGATCAAATGTTTCTTCGTCTAATCGTGATAGTTCGCTATGACAAATAAATATTTCTATTCATTTCCTTCTCTTTCAGATTTACAAATCACTGACATCTCACGATGTCTCTTCTCAACAAAATACTGCTCATTGCATTACTCATATCCAGTTCCACTGTTAATGGATACAATCGAAGACACATGAAAAAAGATTATTCACAGGAGAAACGTCTCCTCCAACTTCTACGTGCTTTGGAATACGATTTCGATGAACGTACAATTCACAGCAAGAGTAAGTTTCATAGAATCGACATAAACGCTCATCGAACTATTGCCTAGGACTTGAGCCAGCGGGCGATTGCACAGCAGATATCTTGCAGGGATATCAATGGGCCGGGAAAGCGGAGATGAATATTCCAGGAGTTGAATCGCATCAAATTTGTATGGATAATTGTGATATGAATGAGAAATGTATGGGATGGTCATACAAAGCAGATGCTCGAATGTGCTGGGGACTAAACTCAATAACCGGTGTTATTGCAGTACCAGGCGTCAATTCAGGATCATGTGTTGGTGAGTGATAAATAGAACTGATTTTGTTTTATTTTTCAAATGAATGGACACATCAGTTTGCGAGTGTTTCTTTTCGTAGGACAAAATTTAAAAGCAAAATGTGAAGAGAAGAAAGAAGGACAATATCTTTCTAACACCATTAAAACACTCGAAAACATCGACACAGTGGAGATTTGTATGCAACGTTGTGACGAAGAAAACCTATGCTTTGGATGGCTTTATGACGGAAACGGCAAGAGCTGCTATCTTGCTAGCTCTTTGGGTGAATTTCAGCCAGGCCCAGGCTTTTTAACTGGATCGTGTATTGGTAAGTGTCGAATTGAACGTCGAAGTTTCGTCTAACGATCTTTTGCCTCTCGATTTAGCCACACAAAAGCGTATTCGACTTGCTGATCCTTTGAAAGTCTTTCGAAAAGAAATCCTCCAACGACACAATATCAAACGAAAAGATCATTGTGTTGGTGATTTAGCACTCGATGATAATCTCAACACAGTTTCGCAACAGTTTGCTGAGAAACTGGCTGCTGCTGATGTCACCCCACCTGACTATGATGCAACAAAGATGCAAGCAGTCTACTACGGTAAAGGCGATATCGCTCTTAATGGTTCGTATACATGTATATCCTACCTATCGAATCAAGAAGAATTCTCTTCGATTTCTAGGTGCTATCGTTGTCGATAACTTTTACAACGAGAACAAATTCTACAACTATGAGAAACCGGACTTTTCATCAACGAGACATTTTCCAAAGATCATCTGGAAAAGTTCGAGCAAGTTGGGAGTTGGTCGAGCATTCACAGTCGATAAGAAGTCGATGTTTGTTGTGATCACTTATGATTCAACTGACACTCTTACCGATTCATCATACCAAAGCAATGTGCAAAAGAAATGTTCATAATATCGTGAACATGAGTGTTGAAGACTTTAAAACAAAAAAAAATTTCAATTTTGAATATAAAATATTTTTTTGAGTTAGTTTTTAAATAGAAAATCATTAATTTGTATCCAACTGGCATGTTTTTTTCTCAACAATTTTTATTGAATCTTTCAATAATTAAGAATAAAAAGAACACTTGCACGTTCCGCCCTCTATCGTCTTATCCAATCAGCGCTTCATCAATATGAATATCCAAAAATGAAAAATCCGATCGCCTTTTACAGAGCATGAGGACTGGTAGTAAATGGATGTCGAGCAAGCCAAACATGAGATGCTCGTTTGTGAGAGTCGTGCTGAAGACAATGATTCAACATATCATTCACATGTGGTGAATGTGTGGAACGCGCACCATTCGGCGGACGTGGTGATTCTTCACGCGGCGCGTCACCATACGTCATGTTATATAAAATAGCACCCGCAGACCATATATCCGCTTTGGATGATATATGTGCACCTGTGACGAAACATTCCGGTGCACTAAAATAAGGTGTACCAATCCCACTTGCGTTTGGATCATTTCTATATTGGAAAAACAATAGCAAGGATAAATAGCAATAGAGGAAAAATCATACCCTCTGACTACTTTTTGTGCGATGCCTAAATCGACAATCTTCATAATCGGACCGAAAAAGACTAAATTATCCGGTTTCATATCGCGGTGAACCTAGAGATCGAAAATGCGAATTTATCTAGTTAGGCGAACATTTCCTTACCACGTGATGACGATGCAACGTTTGTACAATATTTGCTAATTGAATCCAAATATTCTTTCGATCACGAGGTGATATATAATCACTCGACGGTCCGTTCATCTCATCGTATATCGGTATCTTTCGCTGTGCATTCTTTACTGCATGAAGTTTTTCAATTCGCGTTGATAATGTATCTCCACCGAGTTCCATGGCCATCAATGCCAATCCTTTCTTCATATCGAAATCAAAACCAAATATTGTTACCACATGTCGCGTTTCCTGCCGCATTTTATAAGCCATTCGAATTTCTTTCTCAAACGATTCCATCAACATCGTCGGCTCGAACTGATTCCCATCTCGCCCACTAATATCAATCGCTTTAACTGCCGCACTACGACCTTCAATTTACCTACGTCATCAACTACCGAAAACTACTCAGTAAAATTCTCACCCCCTGCTGTGCGAGCCGACCAAACCGATCCGAATGCACCTCCACCCAAACGACTAATCAATGTATACGATTGATCTTTTATTGTAAACGTCTGATTTCGTAATGATTGATCAGGGTAGTAATGATTAGAGCCATCATCTACATGAAAAACACTGACTCAATATGAAGTTTCTCGAGCAAATATTTACCACGTCGAATTTTATTCAATAGACTACCCATGTCTATTTGCTTTTGCCTAAAAGAAATGTAAATAGTCTCTGAAAATGAAATATTAATAAATGAATGATACACGTTATGATTTGCCAATCAAGGACAAAAACGTGTACATGTGCATATCTTGATGTATAAAATCATATGTAATGATGCGTAGCTCAGCTCGGTTGGAGAGAGAAGCGTAATTACTCAGATAAAACACACGGTTGCTTACATTCATTTGACGACGTATGTTCCTTAAAATGTTTTTCTATTGATTAATATAACATCGTTCTGCTCAATTATAGCAAATTGAATCAAGATAAAAGAGACACACAACGAAACAACAAACAAGATTGATATTTGACGACATCATGATATAGGGCAGTGTGCGCATAACAAACAAATTTATTCGCACGATTAGTCAACAATAGATCACGTTCTGTTGGTGTAGCGGTTATCACATCTGCTTAACACGCAGAAGGTCGCAGGTTCGACACCTGCACAGAACAGTTTCTTCTTTTTTTTCGTTCTCGGCAACTTCCTTTCGAATGAACAACGTGATTAGAATGGAATATGGTTCTGTTGGTGTAGCGGTTATCACATCTTTCTAACACGCAGAAGGTCGCAGGTTCGACTCCTGCACAGAACGGTCTTTTTTTCGGCTTCGACAACTTCCTTTCGAATAAACAACGTGATTGGAATGGAAAGATGGAATGAGGTTCTGTTGGTGTAGCGGTTATCACATCTGCTTAACACGCAGAAGGTCGCAGGTTCGACACCTGCACAGAACAGTTTCTTTTTGTTCGGTTTTAGTTCACTCGTCCTTGGTTAAGCGATGAAAATTAATATTTTTATTCAAGGACATTCGATTTATGCGGAGTAATTAGACGTAGAAGCAGACGAAATGTTTATTTTGTTCAAAAATTAATGAGCTATGTCCGAATGGTCGAGCATTTTCGCATTGGGATCAATCGTTTTCTTTCCCGGTTTCCAATTCGCCGGACAAACTAAACAAATCCAAATGAAACTCAGCAAGCCGATCAGAAGATAATTACCTTCGCCATGTTTATCAGTAAATTGAAACGCTTGAACTAATCGAAGTGTTTCATCGACAGAACGACCAACTGGTAAATCGTTGATGGTCATCTGTCGAAGAATACCACGAGTATCGATTACAAATAAGCCGCGAAATGCGATACCTTCATCTTCTTTCAACACACCGTATTTTGCTATGGGAAAAAAAAGTTTCATATTCACCAGGTGTAGACAAGCGCGTTTTACCAGCGATTTCCATAGTTTTATCAGATATTAATGGAATATTCATTTTACCCAAACCGCCTTGTTTTCGATCTTTTGTCGTCCTAGAGCAAAACACAAACTGAAAAGCTTTCTCTTGAATGAAAGAACCTTACCAAGCAAAATGACTATAATGCGAATCGGTTGAACAAGCGAGAATTTCGCATTCGATTTCACGAAATTCATCGGCGCGTTCGCTGAATGCGATAATTTCTATAAAAACAACGATAATGGTTATTCTCTATTGGTTTACTGACAATTACCAGTCGGACAAACAAATGTAAAATCCAATGGATAGAAGAAGAGCACAACGTATTTGCCTAAGTAGCTGCTTAACGTAATATCTTTAAAGTCATAATCAACCACTGCTGTAGCGGTGAAATCAGGCGCTGGTTTACCAATTTTAGCCGACATTTCTTTTCTATGAAATATGCAAACAATTCAGAGCATTTATAGAAGTTCATCTATTGTTGTGATCTAATTATTGGTTTCTCTGGAGAAATTGACCACCTATTTTCGATAATCAAGATGAACTCAACTGAGAATATAAGCAATTAGTCGATCGGCAAAATGTACTTGGCATTTTCATGCATCGCAACAGCTATTTTGGTTCTAACTATTGGAATTGAAGCTTAATATCTCATTTGCTTTTCTTCTGTTCTGGGGATTAACAAAGTACTTTCTATTCTTGTTAATTCTTTTGTTTTCGAATTGAAATTTGTATAACGTCATTTTGTGAAAGTATATAAGAAAATATGAAAGATAGCTTAACTATTCAAACTCGAGACGCATCCTCATCATGTCCAAGTCTTTTGTATTGTTCTACTTCGTTACTGTGATCCTAGTAGAAAAAGCTATCTCTTTTCCCCGCGAAATTTACTTCCAAGGAGAATCCTATCGGTAAAATAACTTCAATTGTCTTCGTTTTGCGCTGAATTTATGTGTTTAGAGTCGAAGGTGATAATCGTTTTCTTCGTGTCGCGAAAAAATGTACTGGTAATCGATTAGGCTTGTATGTTCCGTACAACGCAGTGAAATTTTTCTGGTCGGGCTTCGGTGTTGCTGATAGTGATAAAGTCGCCGCAGAAATCGCTCAGCATGTTGCGGAGAAGGAAGGCAAGAAAGGTGTCACACTCGAAACACTTCTCGAACTCGAGGAAAACCGACATATCAAACCATGCAAATGGACAGTGCCAGTCACACCTGAATGTCGTCAGTTCTGGCAAGATCTTTCATGTGAATACGCATCAGTGGCAAGAGGTTTCCGATTGATTTTCTGCAGAAATTCTTTGTTGATATGAGAATTCGTCTTCTAGGAGAAGTTCGAGTTATTCTCGGACCGCGAGTTAGTCCGACAAGTGCATGGCTAACCACGGAAAAAGATCAGTTAGAATACCTTCGAAGTAACGGACAAGACTTATGGGGTTTTAAACAATATGAATTGGAAAGCGTCTATTGCAAAGACATGGCCACTCATGAAACCAGAGTTCCTGAAATCAAACGAGAGATTTGTACGAGAAAAGTTTAGAGGTCGGCTAGATGTCGTTCGAAGATGTTTGAAAATCAAACGAGATTATTCATTGCAGCAAATGTTTGATCAATAAAAATTCATATTTTATCTTTTCTTTTTTCTATTTTATGGATAAATTTCTCGTCGAAAGGTTCGATTTGGAACCGAATTCTAACGATGAAACTCCGATTGATTCGTTTAAATTACTTCATGATTTCAACGCCTATCAAACAGCATTGCATGAATATGCGTCGAAGCATCAATTAACCGATTTCGAAGAATATTACTACCGCATTGAAACTGATCCTCGACGAAAATTTCTGTATGATGTCAGTCAAACATATTTCGATAATTATTTTCTTTCGATCTATTTCATTTTATCGAATCCATTTCTAATCACTCAACCAACGTTTCATAATCTGTATGCAACTAAACATCTCTTGCCGGATATCACCGATCATATCATCCATCTTTATGAAACTATGAATGAGAAAGCATCGAGATTTTCTAATAAATTCCTATTAGAAAAATTTATCGCCAATCTCGAGTTCGATTCTCTACCGGATGAATTAACCGGTGAAGATTATAAAGAATATTTCAAACTATTTGCTCGCGAGGCAACCCGGTTGAAGACTTACCTAATCGGCTTGAGTCAACAACCGAAATGGCTCGAACATTCTGAACAAGGACTCGCTCAATTCGAACCGGAAATCTATCAATTCTATTTCGAATACAATACTGGATTAAAATTGAAATCTCCCGATGATTTCAAACGCATCAAACATTGGGCACAGAAGCATTTAGATCATCTAATGAACGAAATGGACCAACTATCCAATCGATTATTAACTTCAGCCGAAGATCAAACGAGATCGGTTTATGAAAAGATGCTTCTTGTCGGAAAGGATGCCAGTCAACGTTGGACATCGAGAGAGGAAATGCTCGAAACATACGAGAAAAGTATCGAAAAATATCGGCGAATATTCATCGACGAACTGCAATTTAAAGAATTCAATCCACCAGGCTTGATCGTTCTCGACAATCCACTACTATCTCGAGGATATTACTACAAAGATAAATTTTATCTCAATGTTTGCAATTGGGATAACGGCGAAGCGAAATATGCCGTGGAGAATTTAACTCTACACGAAACCGTTCCTGGACATCATCTACAATTCGATATATCGTATCATTCGCCGAATCATAACTACTTAACGACCATTCTGTCAACACCGTGCAATGGATTCACTGAAGGATGGGGTTTATTCGCTGAGCATTTAGGTGATGCCATGTCAAATAACCCATGGGTTTACTTCGGATACTTACAAGCGAATATTTTACGTACATTTCGTATTATTGCTGATATACTTCTACATGTGGAAGGGCAAACGCCGCATGATGTCATTCAGTTAGCGAAATTGTATTTAACAGTAAGTGAAGAATGCATCACCAGTGAAGTTTATCGTTATCGAATCCTTCCCGGTCAAGCATGTTCATATAAAGTCGGTTTAGAAGTGTTCAAACGGATTATGAAACAGAAATTTCAAGTGGAAAATGTCAACGATTATCTCCGACCAGATCTTCTCGATTGGTATAAAGAACTTCTATGGAAAACGGAGCGACCATTAGATATTTTATTAGCTGAAAATGGAATATCATGGTCCTTCGATGAATGAAAAAATTTCAACTTTTGTTGGTTTTTGATAGCTTTTCATTAATAAATTTCTAACGTATTTCATCAAGTTTCATAGCTAAATGACCAGTTTTAATGAACAATTGACAGCCATGTTCACTTTTCACATAAAATGTCTTTCCTGCCCATTCAACTGGTCGTCGAATCCAAAAACCTTGTGTGCAATTATGCTTATTATTTTCATCTTCACTTCCATCGGCATTGCTAAAACTCATATCACCTTTCAAAACAAAGATTTCTTCACCACCTTCTCCAACAGTCCACTGTTGACTGTTGAAACCAGCCTCCCATCTTTCCATCCAAACATGTTCGCCGGTATTTGCATTCGAAAACAATTCTAATCGTTGCCGTTTCTCCTCATCAACGTTTTTCCATTCTTGTGAACTTTCGGTATCGATGATGGTTATCGGAGTTTCCGTTCGATCGTTCATCTGCCGAAGTTTAACTAGTAGAACAGCGCCTTGCTCACCTGTCCACGGCTCGTGCGTTGTACCAATGCCATGTCGACAGTAACTCATCGGACCGTGATCGCCAGAGAGATCATCTGAGAAAACTCCCTCAAGAATAACAAATTCTTCACCTCCGCCATGCGTATGACGAGGAAATCGGGCAAATGGACTGTACTTCACAATCGTTGTAGCTCGAGCGACCTCATCACCCGTACGATCTAACATTCGCCGATATACACCTTGAGTTGGGGAATCGACGTATGGGATTAGATTCGAATCAACTACATGAGGAATCGAAAGATCCGAGCGAAGTTGCATTGTAATTGTGTTTACGCGTGTGAAACTAATACGAAACAGAGTGGGTAAATACAGGACTAGTACGGAGTGTATTGCAAGCATGACTCATCAACATGAGTCGACAGAAAATCTTTGTTTCAGATAGATAAACTCCTATATTCGGCCTTGAGAGGTTACAAACGAAAAAAAGAGATTTTAATAAGCAGAAAATAAAACATTTCGTGACACATGCTGACAAGTTGTGACCGTGACCAAAAACCTTGTTTGCATTAGTCTTCGAAGGTAACCATGAATAAGCATTAATTATCGATTAAAATATCGTTCCTTAATTAGATTTTGAGCGTTCTGTACTAAAGAAGATTTTTCATAGGAAATGAAATCGATGAAGCGAAAGTTCGCTAGAAAACATTGACATTGATAAAAATCTCGCTCTGATTACTCATCTAACATCGAAATTGCAATCGTTTTGATTATTTCCAATAGATCATAAACAGACCGAAACTTATCAAAAACGCCAGTGATTCTTAAAATACGCATATGACTAAGATTTATTTATCTTTACCTCTCTACTTCCATTTTTGGGCATTGTTTTAGTCAATAGTTTACAACTCGATATCGATGACTCATTCATTGCCCTCTTTTCCGTAAACAAGTTGTGCAACTATAGTTGCATCATAACAACAACACATACTCAAAATGGTTTCAACATTGGAAGATCTACCAGATGAAATCCTTTTGATTATTTGTCAGTTTTTATCCCAATATGACATTATTCATGGATTTTATAATTTAAATCATCGACTTAATTGTACTGTAGCACAATTTACTACATCATTTTTTATGCAACGTCGATATATAAATGATAAGGACCGAAATCAAGAAATACTATCCACCATTGGACGATTTCTTCGATCATTAATCGTCAAAGACGTACTATTATCTTCACAAGATCTTTTACTAACACCGAACATTCATGAACTGACTTTCATTCGAACCTGCGTCTGTCCTTTACCAGTAATTTCATCATTAAAAGCAACTGCCAGTTCGCCTCATCACTTTTCTTTCTTTTTTAGCCACTTGCCAATCTAACGGATTTAAATATATTCAATCCTTTCCCAACATCTGCTACCAATACACTTTTCACCTCTAATCCCAATCTTCACTCGGTATTCATCTGTTCAACAAGTACGTTAATCAACCTTCCACCTACAACAGAGCAAACATCAGCCATCAAACAACTTGCTGTGACACTGCAATCGCTCTCCGATCTCCCATCTTTACTTCTCTTTTGTCCCCATTTAATTTGCTTGAATCTCAACTTACAACGCGGGATTTCTTTACAAAATTCATTCCCACCGATCAATCTAGCATCAAATCTCGCGATATTTTCACTCCGTACGCCATACGAAGTTATGGTTGACTTCGCACGTATCAAACATGTGCTCAAATATCTTCCATCAACGCTCGAAATACTTGGTGTTGAAATCTATACAACAGATTCGACATGCCTTGATGGCCAATCCTGGGAAAACAATTTAAAAGAGAACTTTCCAAATTTACATCGCATGGAATTCTTCATTTATCTAAAAAACGAACTAAAACCGATCGGTGAAACACTCAAACTACCAGATGTCCTCAAAACTTTCAAAACTCCCTATTTGTCAACTATCATTCCTCAACAGATCGCAGGTGATTACAATTCGGTATCCTATGTCAGTTCACTTAGTATTTTCACCCAACCAGCTCCAACTGTAAGACGACGTCGTTATTTTCTCCACTGATTTCAAAATTATTTATTAAATAACAAAAACAAATTAACTTTTTCCATAACGTGCTCGATGATTTTGGAACCAAATACGAACTGATGACGTAGGTAAAAGTAAACGTGCGGCAATTTCTTCCTGTTCATGTGCAGATGGATATCGATTTTGTCCATATATTTGATTTAGATACCACACTTGCCAATCAGATAGTTTTCGTCGTGGCTGAAAAGAAACATATATTGAAATACGATACGTTCTACTCAATCAAGACTTACCTTTCTCGCTTGATTTTTCGATGCATGAACAGTACTTTCTAAACATAGACAAGATAAACTGATTGTGACATGTTCGAAGAAGTTTTGTGCATAGAAAATGAATGCGTCTACTTACTGAATCGTGTCGAGATTATCTTTTTTTGCAATAAGAAAAGACTTACCTTGTTTTTGACAAGGAGAAGAAAAAGAGGTTACCGATGAGGCAGCTAATGATTCGATTGAATGAAAGTTAATTCGGGGTCGATATGTCGAACATGGTGTACTTGTCGTCGTCACTGTAAATCTTTCTGGCGAATGTCTACAATAATAAATCAACAAAATCGAATATAAATTGTCAAAACTCACGATGAACTCGTATTGCAGATGTCAAGGTCTGACAAATCTGATGATGTGTACTCATAAATTGAATGCATTTTTCAATCAATGTGAGCAATCGTCGAGAAAGATATCGATATATATCCGTTTGGTCAATCATTGTGGTAATCAATCAATTAAGAGTGATACATATGTCGATGTAAGTCAATTATGGTGATCCGAATTGGATCGTTGATTAGCAAATCGGATAAGAATTTCGTTTGGAAAGAAAATCCGATCCATCGAATGAAAACTGCGCTTGTTTAATGAGAATATTTGATTAGATCGTTATGTCTGCCGAGGTAATTGAAGAAATATCGAGTTTGCCTTGATTTTTGATGAAAAATGATTTTTTTTGTTCTGCTTTGATAAGATGAATTCAAGGCATCACCTGCTGATAACATGTATATTGCCGTCGTATGCCATATCACTTATTCGCTTCGTGCTTGAACAACGTTTGATTAGGAAGGACGGCGAATGTTGTTTTTTGTGATTATTATATCGATTTCTTTTTTTCTTTCCGTTTTTTCCTCTCTCGTTCTCTCCATACGTTGACAGCAGAAAGAATCAACGGGACAGTAAACGGAGCATTTCATTCGCTGTCGTGTTAAAATTACCAAGACCTACTTTTCTTAGACACCTGATATTCACTTGATCAACAATGAAAGCGCTCAATCGAATTTGAACTTCTATTCTTTTCACAACCGATATGGGTACCAGTAGTTCGAAATCACCTCATCTTCCAACATCGCTCATCTCTCGTACTCAATCATTACTAACTTCATGTCATTCAAAACACAAACATCTCGATTGGTCTCTTCTGCTTAACAAAGGACACGTCCGTACGAAGAAAAAAGTTCTCATGTTAGGCCTGGATGGTGTTGGTAAAACAGATCTTTTCGGTCGATTAGTATGTCAAGATAAACAAACAAGCAAAACAGATTCTCTTCCTCAACCAACTATGGGTATGTTGATTTCTTTCGAAAGACTCTCTCAATGATTGTTTTCTTAGGATATAATGTCGAAACAATCAAAGTCTATTGTAATCATCTATGTCATCGACGTTGTCATGAAATCACTCTGTGGGATTGCGGTGGCCAATCGTCCCTTCAGCCGTTATGGTCCTATCATTTCTCCAATACGTCTCTGCTTCTCTGGTTAATTAATGTACATGATCGATCGCGATTAGATGCTAATCTGCAATTACTCTCTCAAATCCTTTCCAATCCATTACTTTTTCGTGTTCCTGTTCTCATTGTGTTATATCATAGTAAACTTCACCGTCGAGATCAACAGACTTCGAATGACGAGAAGAACGAAGGTTTACTGACGAATTTGGAAGTAGCTTTTCGCTTTCTTTCCACTTTGTCAACGTCTCACGCAAGTACATTTAAATGGCAGGTGATCAAAGTCAAATTAAATGAAGATTCTACTAATGATTTGAAAAAAATTCGACAATCATTCAAAGAGTTAATGGAATTATAAAAATAGCATTCGAACAGCTTTTCTTTAGTCTTGTATGTTTTCTTTTCTTTTTCTTTGATCAATCAGGTAACCAACGAACTAATTGTCGATCATATTCATCGTTGTCGTCTATTTCATTCGGATAGCATATTGTTATATCTTGCTCATGTTTTCTCACCGGAGGAACTGCCCATTCGCGATACTAAGAAAGAGAAAAATTTTCAAATCAAATGATTGTGTGAATGAAAATCTACTCTGAATCGATTAGTCGTTGCTTGATGATAGAAGAGTTGACGTAATTCTTGTTGTCGTTTTCGAGTGCTTTGAATACGCTTGTTTTCATCTTCTGCTTGCTTCAGAGCGGCGATTTCATCGTATTCTTTGTCTATTTGCACGAATAGATCAATTTAAATTGAGACTTTTCGAATCAAATGTGTTTTCTACCTCTCAATGCTTTCTCTTTCATTGCTTTTGTCATCGCCGCTGTGTACCGAGCTATGAAAACAAGAAAATATTTAGAAAACAACACTCATTTTAGTCCTACGTTTATTGTCACCATTTAACGGTCGACTCTGTGTCCGCTGCTTGATTTCTTTACACGCTAATGTTGATTCAACCGGCGGTACAAGCACAACAGTGCTCCAGAATTGTGTTGCCAATTTATTCTCGTCACTTCGGGAACCATCGAATACCGTCACCGTCGGATTCTGTCGAGTGTCGAATTCATGAACAGGTTTCAACAAACCTTTGAATTAAAGATAGAAAAATGGATTCAGAGGAGAGATTTTCAAACGACTTACTCATCTTTGAAAAGTTGCGAAAGAAAGTCTATACCATTTTTGAATTGGTTACTATGGCGAAGACACAATTAGAGAAACAGAACACGACAGACATCTATGACGCGTGTATTCAAAAGGGGTAAGAAGATGTGTTTATCTGTCGATATTATCCAGATCTTTTCTGGCAAGGATGAGAAAGAAATATCGCTTTTTCAGTCATTGACAATGCGTCTTCGATGTTGGTCGTTTTTGCTCCTCTCTATTTGTCTTCATTCGATTCAATGCCTATTTCTCCAAAAAGTCAAAGACAAAATCAAAAATGCCGTTTCGGGAAAGAAAATGGTGAAGTATAGTCACGAAGAAATGATGCTGTTTCCAAACACAGGCTTTCAACGTAAGGAAGGCGATTGGCGTTTGAATCTGCATGGCTGGCGTTTCAAATCATCTCGACGAAACAAATTGTTAGGTGAATCCTCATCCTCAGTTGCTGAACGTATCGCCCGTTTGTTGGCCAGTTCGGAGCAGATCGTCTATTTCAACGATACATTTCAACGTGATCGACTGAAACCTTTTATGGTGGAAGACAAAAGTAAAGAAGAAATTTTCATTCTCATTGGAAAAAAACATAATTATACGACGCAGACGGATACCGAAGGTCAATTTCGTACGTCGTTTATCATCCCGAACGAAGATGTGCAAGAAATCAAACAAACTTTAAAAAATGATCAGGTTATTACGTATCAAGCCGTGGGAGATAATGGAGATCAGTGGGAAGGAAAAGTTCATTTATTGGAACGACGAGGATTATCGATTGTATCGGATATTGATGATACAATCAAAATCAGTGAAGTCGTGGATAAGATTCGGCTAGTAGCTAATACATTTATTCATGGTTTTCGTGTTGTGCCAGGTAATATGACTTGTTGGAATGAGACAAAAAACGAGTCTTTGTTTCTTTCAGGAATGCCGGAAGTATATCAAGGATGGAAACAGAAATACAATTGTTCGTTTCATTACCTTAGTGCTATGCCTGATCAATTATATGCTGTAACGAAAGATTTTATTGATGATCATCAGTTTCCCGATGGGACATTTCATATGCGGTAGGAATCGATCGATGAGATTCATAAAGATCACATTCATTCCTATAGACACTTCCGCTGGTCATCTGTATCGATCTATAATTTTGTTCATTCAGTTGGTGAGTTCGTTGATGCTTTCGTCATATGTGAATGATCGATCGTTTCGTAGATACAAAAATGCATAAAATCAATCATCTACGATACTTTATATTCAATTCTCTACGTTTGTTAGTTTTAATCGGTGATTCGGGTGAACGTGATCCAGAAATATACGGCTTTGTGGCAAGAAAGTATCCGAAACGGGTGCATCAAATATTCATTCGAGCGGTCAAGGGTGAAAAAGGCGACGAAGAACGATTCTTGAAAGCATTTGAAGGTGTCCCGAGAGAAAAATGGATGGTCTTCACCGATCCAATCAATGAACTACCAAAAGATCTGAACATAACCCTTTCACCCTCGTGATATTTTTGCATTTTTCTAGTCGAAACATGACGAAAAGACATTTTTCTCTTCAAAATACAATCACGATGTGGTAACGACAATTAATATGAAGAATCGCCACTGGCAGAGAGAAACAGAACCGCATAGAAATTGATTTACATACACATTCTTTTCATTTCTAATCAACTTCTGTGTAGTCGCTGTTTGGTGAAACATTTCGCTCATCGAAAGTTTGCTTTAACAATTCTAATCGAAAAAAACAAGGACAAGAACAACAACAAGCACTGTCAATCATACCCGTTCGTCAACATGCAAACGTAATTTGAAGCCTCTTCAAAGCCATCGTTCTTTTTCCTTCTTCTTTCATTTCGATACATATAGTGTAGCTTTAGCTCTTGTTTTTGATGTATTTCAATTCACAAAAAAAGACGCAGAGTTCGATAGAAATCGAAATCAAGCTAAATAGATATCAGAACTAATGCGTGTGGATATGTTTTAGTTATTTGTATGGAAGCCTATCAACGGCTTGAACAAATATTTTCTTTTCTTTTCTTTTTGATTACTAGCATCAGTTTGGTGAATGTTTCTATACATTCCGGACGTAGAATGATGAATTTTGAAGAATTTCGTCGAACGGGTGAATTCTCCGATATCACTGTTATTGTTGACAAAACTGAATTTAAACTCCATACGTTTCCACTGTTTACGAAAAGCGATTATTTCAAGAAAGCTTTCGCGTCGTCATCGCCACCCTATGTTATTCAGCTTGATCAACAATTTCCAGGTGGTGCAAATGTTTTCAATCAATTAGCGGATTACTTTTATTCGATTCCGATTACGATTGATCATACAAATATCGTTCCACTACGAGCTGCTGCGTGTTTTATCGAATGCGAAGCATTGAGCTCGCTGTCCGATAAACGCCTAGATGAAATCTTGATTCTTGCGCAAGTTAAATACGATTTGTCCGTTCCATTAGCATTACTCGAGCAATGCAAAGGCGAATATCAACACTGGGCGACAAAAGCGAATATTGTCGAGAAATGTCTTCGTTGTATCATGGAATTATTCGTACGCGGGGCGAGTTTGCAACTAAACAAGTCCGACCAAGAAAGTCTCGTTCGTTTACCATTGGAATGGCTCATTCAGTGGATTAAATTATATCCAAAAGAAAGTAAACATTCGATTCTTCCGTTTGTTAAACATTACGTTACTACACGTGCTTTACACGAAGAAGAAAATCAAACGAAGAATGATGGTAACGATGAGAAACGGGCTATAATCGATGAAATCGTGAAAACGTTAGGTGAGACTATCGAAGATTATCCATTAGGATGGCTCAATTCAGTATATGAAAAGGCTGTAGAACTCAAATGTGAATGCGAACCGATTTTATCAGCGCATATCACTCAAGCCATTCTTAAATCAACAAAACTTCACGACGGAATCGAAACTATTCCTGACGACGTGATGAGCAGATTAGTTGAACGCGTTAATAAACACAAAGAAGATCATGTGAAGGACCCGCAACTTCTTGCCAAAGTAAATCTCTTGAATTGATATTTTTCAAAGAAAATACGTTTGTACTTTAGTTATCAACACTTCTCGATTCGTATGTAGCTCACCTTCGTCAACGTGGTACACTTACCAGTGAACAGTTTGTTAAAGTAGCATCATGCATACCCAAGGAACAACGAAATTCACATGATAGTTTGTTGCTTGCATTGGATGAAATACTTAAGAATGGTTTGTTTAAGTTTATCATTCAGGAGAAACGCGAAATCTGCCATTTTCTAGAGAAATCGACACAATTGAGTTCTCACGAACGAGAAGAACTACTTAGTCAAGTAGATTTTTCTCGTGTTAATGAAGAAACCATTGCTGCATGCAAAAGTAACCAGCTTATTCCTCAACAATTAATTACCGACGCCGCATTGGCTCTATGCACTAAATTACGAAAACAATTGGATGATACACAAACTCGTCTTCAACTAGTTGAACTTCAGATGGGTAAAACACGACCAGCGTCAACAACACCAATATGTCCAAGTAGAGACTCTCATTCTCTCTCCTTAACCAAACTCATTTTTTTCTTATTTAGAACATCGTTCGTCGAATTTAAACTCTTCATTTCGTCTTCCACCACGTTCACGTAGCACATTATCAAATACGTACGAAATTCCTCGACAAAGTTCGATATACGCTCGTGATATTGACATGGACTTCATCCTACCTTCAAGATATCTTTCATCAGTATTAAGTAGCAGATATGGTTCATACTCTTCTACTTATCGTCCTTGAAAAGAACACCGTGTTTCCTTCCATTTATGTAGAGAATTCTTAGAAAATCAATACACTATCATGCATGACTCATATTTTGAAACGAATGAAGAACATCTTCTTATCAATTCATGTGACTGACTTGATTTTATACTTACAATACATTTTTTTCGTTTCTTCTCTCTCTCTCTTTTTCTTCAATGGAATTTATAAAGGGAATCGAATCGATTTACATCATTCATTCAATTGCAATTCTATTCCAAGATATGAGCTTATCTTCATTCATCCTACTTTGTTTTTTGTTCTTTGCTCTTTCAATTTCGATTGCACAGACGCAATTATGGGGTACATCTATAGGTGAAAATTTACTTCTCATTCAATTGAAATTGTTAACTTGTTTCACTGTAGGGCGATGCTGGGGTCGATTTGAACGATATCGTGAATGTGCATCAACATGTCCCGATACGTGCCAAGATGTCTTTTGGCCAAATGTGCCGAAACTATGCCCTATGATGTGTAGAATCGGATGTGAATGTATTCCTCCGTTTGTGCGTTTGAATCAACATGCGAACAGTCCTTGTGTTCATCCTCGTCATTGTCGATTCGTGTAACTAAAAATAACTCCGTTTTGATTTTTCGAACTTTTTCGGTAATAAAACTCGATAATGAGAAACATGTTCTAAATCGTCTTATCTGATAAGAAGTTGTACGCAAAACATTCTATTATTTGACGTCAATGGAGTGATTCACGCTCTTCGATCATGAATTTGTTTGTTTTGTTAGAAAACGTAAGTTAAATATAGTGACATTTGTCATAAATCATCTAGTCCGCATGTTGAAAAATATTATATTATTAGCGGAGTTATTCAGTGCAGATTAGATATAACGAACGAAAAGTACAGTTCGGCAAGAGATTGATTATTCAGTTTCAAGTGTAGAAAATCAAATGACGTGATTAGTATGATATTTTCGACCGCATTTGAATAGAAACCGGTAAAAAATAATAGCTTTGTGTACTAGGTACTCCTAAATACTCAAAATAATCTTTTCGATAGAATAATAATGAAACAACGTCAAAGGAAAATCGAACGTATATTTACTCATTATTCAATTGCGAACCAAGCGTTAAACTACCCATATATATATACAATCGATTCGATTATAATCCTAATATAAACATATTTGAATTTTTCATATCGATTATTTACATTGTCTAAAATATCATGAGTATTTTACGCTCAGCTATCGTTACTGCTGTAATAGGCTTGGTTTGTGTCTTCTCTATACAAGTTAAAGGTATGTTACACTTGACCTAGGCTATAAACAAGATCATATTGAAACGTTTGTATAGCTATTCCTGTAAAACCCTCACGACAATGCTGTCCTGAAGGTGAAGTGTACAAATCATGTGGAACAGCATGTCCACTTACGTGTGACGATGTTCTCAATACAAATTCAACAAAAATGTGCACACTTCAATGTGTATCAGGTTGCTTCTGTCAAGAAGGTTATGTACGAGATAAGCAAAACAAAGGTACTTGTGTTCGACGCGAACAATGCAATACGACGACTCCAGAAACAGATCAATGCTCTCCAGATACCGAAGAATTTAAAAACTGTGGTACAGCATGTCCGGAAACCTGTGCAGACATGAACAATTCAGACTCTAAGCCATGTTCAAAGCAATGTGTGCAGGGTTGTTTTTGCAAAGAAGGTTATGTACGAGATAAAGAAAATGGTACCTGTGTTAAACGTGAGCAGTGCAATATTACAACTCCACCTAGAAAACAATGTTCTAAACACGAAGTGTATACAACTTGTGGTTCCGCATGTCCACTTACATGCGAAGATGTTATTAACAACACGAATAAACCATGCACACTTCAATGTGTGCAAGGCTGTTTCTGCGAAGAAGAGTATGTACGAGATACGAACAACGGTGGTGCTTGTATCAAACGTGACAAGTGCAAATCAAATGATCCAACCACGAGTACTAGAAGTCTGGTAGATAATTAGGTTTGCTGTTATGTTTTCTTCTGTAATGTCATTATTCGAAATCAATAAATTTCGAACAGAAAACAAACTTCTGTTCGCTCTTCCTGCACCTACTCGATTTGAGATACATCACACATAATTCTGATATTTTGCTTGTCTTAATACTATAATCATTATCGAGAAAAAGAAGGATTTTATCACATTTTGCTCGATACATTCTTCTCATTCTGACCATCATACCACGATGTCATATGTTGCGTTTCTCTACATTTTACTTACGCTGCCCACAACAACTAATACTGAACAGCGCCCAACTCGATCTTTCATTGAAAATTTCCTTCTCGACGTCGATATTCCAGGTGATGTTATTATCTCGTTTCATCTGATCCGTGCATTTCACACTCGTCCTTTCCTTCAACTGCAAATGCTCTCCAGTAACTATTATCGCATTCCTCTTCGATTAGTTAGACATCATGCATACAATTCATCAACTGCAGAGCAATGAAAGACAACGACCCCTGATTCGAATATCATCCAAGTATAACTATTTTCTTATATATTACTATGGCGACTAGGAAACATACTAGATGAATATTCCTAATTGACTTTCGTTTCCATTTCCACAGTATAACTTGAGTGTTTCTCCATCTGGTTCATTACGAGTGACGGGAAGTGACCTTTCGAGATATATTCGAATGATAATGAACAATAGTTCATCATTGATTTACACTGAATCTGTTCGGGAAACGAAAGGAGTAGTAAAAGGTGTAATTGCATATGAAAATATCAATAGAACGAGCAATGAATCATTGCTTCCAACACTGAAATTTAGACTTGATTGAAATTGGCAAATGTTAAGTAATGTTCGTCGATATTTCGGACATGGTGATACACTTCCAGGTACAACGAATTCCACGATAATCAATGAGAAAGGAGATATAGGAATGATTATTTTCACAAATTGCAGAGATTTATGGTTATACAGATTTGTTGTTGACAAATTCTCAAACGAGACTTTTCAGCGTTGATTTTATCATTTCGGCTACTTGAAGTTGATAATTTAAATCCGTTGATTTTGTCTTTCGACAAATATTCTTCTACATATGTTAATCAGTACAATGAAAACTAATCTAACAACGTAATAAACGATTGTATTGAGATCGAGATTTCACTTATACTTGCTTTTTTATTTCAAATAGCTCTATTCATCAAATATTAGTATAAGCTTTTCTTTATTACGCACCAGCCACTCACTACGATCAAAGAGCAAAAACCTCAACTAATCTTCTTTCTCTGTCTGTTTGCTTTCGATTGGAACAGCTATAAATACATCAGCAATCATCATAATACGAAAACATAAACGCACCGTCACTTCAATTTCAAATATGGTTGCCACTTCACGCTCTACAATACTTTTGGCTATGACCGTTTTGGTTTGTGCATTAGCTGTTCAAGCACGACGTTCGTTTTTTTTTGTTATTTATTCATTAGAAATGGGTAAATCTTTGATATTCACTTTCAGTTGATCCATCGACACGATGTTTACACAAACACGAAAAATACAATTCATGTGGTACAGCATGTCCATTGAATTGCGAAGATGTTCTCAGTTCAAATCTACAAAAGCCATGCACACTCCAATGCGTCGCAGGTTGTTATTGCGAAAAAGGTTATGTGCGCAAAACAGATGACCAGAACAGTCCCTGCGTTAAAATGGAAGATTGTTACTCAGATGCTTGAATATTTTTTGTCTTTTCATATCAATAAATCATAAGAAATATTCTGACAATTGATCGATATCAATCTAAAAGTTCGTCATACCCGTCAGTTAGCTCAGATGACGTCTGATCTTTATTACTCCAGCAGAATGAATGGATATATCTTGACATCATAGTGCCGATATTTCTCGTTTTCATTGTGTAAACTATGACGAGTAGATGTGATTTTATGATCATATACATTGATCGGTCGTATTATCGAGTGTACGTACCGCACGATATTCCATCGTCTTCGCTGTGATTGTCTTGATTTGTACATCGGCTATACAAACCAAATGTATATAGTATCTATTTTTGATTGGATAACTAGTTCTGGAGAAAGTGAAGTCTAGCAAGAATGTGAATCAGCATGTCCAAAGACTTGTCTAATCAACGGTGGTAAAATGCGTCAGAAGAGATTCATACTTATGTATACCAAATTGTCAGTGCACGGAAGTTTATGTGCGACGAACTACCGAGAAGATCGTGAATGGAATTATTATGAGCACATTAGAAATGTATCTACTAGAAGTACTTGTCAAAATGATGTTCTTCATTGTTATTCTTGGTGTTTATAGTATTTAAATGTTATTGGAGCATTGATATATGAATTTATATTTCTGAATGTTCGAGAACTCGTAATAATTTGTCAAAAATAGTTCAGATTAAAAAAGCTAAGAACAAGATACAGCCTTCCTTTCACGAAATAATCAGGTGTCACTAATAGTTTTATTGATTCAATCTTGCAGTAAAGTTTTGATGATTATATAGAATCTATCAGTGATCTGGATAGTATGAAGTCGCATATGGAGACTTATTTTCGTTCTTTGGAACACTAGCACTCGGATGGCTGTATTTTCTACAATGCAACTGATCGCTTTTATCACGGCAATCTGCACCATGTCTACACGGAGTTAATTGTTCATGATTATTATTTCCTTGTCGAGCATTGGATGCTTCTTTAAGAAAATGAAATTGTACATAACAATGATTACTATTCTTCAATAGTTACTCACCATTTCGTGATGGTTTTTCCATTCTTTCGAGAACCTTTTCGCCATGTGAATATTTGATGCGATGTCTTTCTGACTTGTCTACACATTGTGCTTGATGTTTGCATGGAATCAAAAAATAGGGTAAACCCGAATGATAAAATTTTGCTCGATGAAAAGCATCGGCTAATAGGTTGCAATCCTTTCCTATCAAACACACAGTTGCTGGATGAGGGTCATGCGTCAAATGAGGTTCGTGTTCCCTGCAACGGTCAGCAAAACGGCATGGATGGAGGTATTTAGAATTATGATGTGACCCATCATCTGAAAATTGAATTAAACAGTTAATACCGTGTTTGCACATTTTTAATGGCGTTGAGCCTTGGCCGTTACCGAGAACAAACCCTTTCACATTATCTCCAATGTGACCAACCGCATTTCTCACTTGATTTATAAAGCCAATGGGTTGTTTTTCTTGGCCCTCAGCGGCTGGAAAGGGCGATGCGGGAGGCGCAGGAAGATCTCTCTTAGCTTGATTATCTCGAGATGTTGCCAGTGCAAATGAAGACAATTTATCTAGCTTAAGATCAACTTGCGGATGTAAACGTTCTTGTTTTTCCAACGTAACGAACAGATTTTGAATTGTTACTGCACACTTTCCAGTACTGACGTAGAGAAGTTCTAAATCTGCGACATCGAGTGTCGATATCTGGAATTTGGCAGAAATGACTTCGTGATTGTAAATGGAATTTGGACCAGCATGGGAAAGATTGACTGTGTTATTGGATGGCTGTACTTCAAGACAGAAGGTAATGAAATCATTCAAATTACATCCACGATAGAACGAGGTCGATCGAGCTACATATCGCTTTTCATCGATAAATGCTTGATGTTGATATGGTTGACCTAAATTCAAATAGGAAGGATTTTCTCGGTATTGTGCTGTATTTGTATTTGGCTTTTCTGCTATATAGATCAGCAAGCTAGTTGTTCTCGAATTGCAATCATTTGGATTGTCTTGTTTCTTTGATAGTGTTAACATCATGTCACCGTTCGATATTTGCCAGTATATGTAATATGTCTTGTCTTTTGAACCCTTCGAACGACGTGTGGAATCGTATTCGTACAAATCTGATATCCTGATGGGCGTGAGAAGGTTATCAAGAAAGTTAGTAGGTGGGATAGTCATAGTCAAACCTTGAGCAACCGATTGTAAGTCATTTTTCTTCAAATGCTGTCGAAGTAAGGTGGTTATAACAGAATGACGATATGTGTCGTTCTCTTTTATCGGTACAACTTGCAAACGTCCACCGAGGACAGTGTTGAGTTTCTCCCGTATGTCATTCTCAAATGATTCAAACATACTTTGTGTCATGAAAATTTCGTCGATATAATCCAAGGGTATCCGTTGCGGTAAGCGAGTTTCAATCGAATTTTGTGGGTGGACAAGAAGCCATCGGTCTAATATTGTATTAAGATCAATATCCATTCTTCGTCCATGCGTGCCATAACTTGTAAGACCTATCAATTCTATAGCAGCCGCTTGTTCATAGCCTGGAATTGCGGCATGCAGCTTCGTTTCGTTGAAGAGTTTCATTCGGTTGCTTTCATCACTTGATTCGTCTCTTAACCATGGCTGACATTGGTAGTATGCTCCAGTTTGATAGGACACAAACGGTTGGATAGAAAAATTAGCATCAACATGATGAAGTACGTCTCGTTTGAACACGATTACTATGTCATCACAATTGTAATCTACATGCGACCCAAGGACGCCGAGAACGTGTCTACTGATCTCTGGTTTCACGGCAAACGGTTGGTTTGTGCGAAGTTCTGTATGTAGTCTTATTGTTGCCTTAGTTATTTGTACAGTCAAGTCGAAAATTAGTTTGATGTTGCCGGGAGAAATACCCTGTGAAAGGAGAATTTTTTCATGCTCAACTGGATCTAGTTCGTTGTCGGAATAATCAAAATTGGTCTTCGAGAACTCAGATTTTCTATAGTAAGCATTGATCAACGCAGCGATATATTTCTGAACATGTGGCCGTTGCGTTTCGATTACTAGACCAGGAGCAGACATTATTTGTGTATGTTGTGCTATACAAAAGGCAAGGAAATCTGCCTTTTTGAAATTTTCCATAGTTGCACGGCTCATGACATGCTCATGAAGAAGAATCGATGTGAGTACTGCTAATCCACAACGATAAACAGGCCGAACAGTTCGCAGCCAGTCAATGATGTCTCGCGATTTGAGATCGAGCGTAAATGGCGTCCATCCATTGCGGCTGGCAAATCTTTCTATACGGTCGATAGTATTTCGCTGATTCAGAAGAAAGTTGATTCTGCTATTTAAATCGTAATAGGGTATAACACTTAGACATTCGTTAATCGGTGTATGGCAGTATTGAAATCTATGCTCGACATTGCTCTGTTCTCCACAACCTGGACCATTCTTACATGAATATCGAATATCTTGAAGGTTGGAATGAGTGAATGAGTTCGAATGATCNGCTGATTCAGAAGAAAGTTGATTCTGCTATTTAAATCGTAATAGGGTATAACACTTAGACATTCGTTAATCGGTGTATGGCAGTATTGAAATCTATGCTCGACATTGCTCTGTTCTCCACAACCTGGACCATTCTTACATGAATATCGAATATCTTGAAGGTTGGAATGAGTGAATGAGTTCGAATGATCTTCGTTCCTTAATTCCACGCATTTTTTACCATCGGGACAGTTGCGTCGGGGGATATGAATTGTTGTTTCCCAGTGTGATGCATTCTGTTGTACACAGTCACGTCCATATACGCACACATGAGCAAACGTCGAACAATGTTGTTGGACATGGTTGGGAATCTTGTCTGTATAGGAAGTATTTTGAAACTCTTGGTATAATGCACAATGATGTGGTGTCCATGGACAGGGTGTCGGGAAAGGATGTTGCCAATCATCTATATGCAATTTATCGTGAAAATAGACACAACTGCGCCCGTATGGGCAAGATGGTCTACAATGACGATAAGCGTTGCAGTGTTCTCGAACACTCTGAAGGTATTCTTTACATTTGTGTGCGTTTTTGCATGATGGTAAATGGCGAAATTCTTTTTCATGTTTGTCACTTGTATCTTGACAATCGCTGCGAGCGGAGCAATAAGGAGGATGCTCAAATTCTCGTGAATGGGTTTTATCATCTATAACTTTACATAAACCACCTTGTGGACATCGCGGTCGATGGATAAACGATGCCATATGAACTAAATCATCCTTCTTCGTACATTTGTCTGTGAGAGACATCTCTGTACATAGCGATGGATGGGAATATTGACATATATGAGCTGGTTCAAACAGTTCTCGACATTTCGCTCCGTATTTACACGGTGTTAGATCGAAAATGGCGATATTTTCCACATTTGAACCGTCAGACGAAAACCGATACGGGCCAAACATTGTGTTCGGCTTGTTGATTGGTCGAATCGCTTCGAAAGTCGATTGTTGAAATTCGCTTTCAAATGGAAGAAAGTTACCATTGACGTTCAACTTTTGTCCCGTGTTATGATCATCGACGATGGCGAACACAATTGACCGAAAAAAGCCAGCATATTGTTCGATAACTGAACGGAAGATTTTGGCGACGTGGCTCGGCGGATTTTGAAATGCTCCACAGCCGAGAGCTGATAGAATGAGAGTATCATGCTTATGATGATGAGCGATAGCGAAAATATTTTCAATCTTTTTTCTTGTTCCTACAGCAAATTTTTCCGAGAGCATATTTCCTTCCAACAAAGGCTTCCGATACGCCGCCATGGCCAATGAACAAACATTCGTAAGTGGTTGACGCATAAATTCGTAGCCTTCCGTTTCTGGTTGACGGAATGCAGTTATTCCTGATGTATAAATAGCACCATATTCGTCCATTCGATACATAGTAGATGGATCTGCTAGAAGTTCAAAACGACCTGTTGATGAACAATAAAATCGTGATGATGGTTGAATGAATTGGTCAAGATCTGCATCCAGACTGCGAAAATAATCTGATCGTCGAAAGAGGTTTTCTTCTTGTGCTCCATCGCCTTTTCGATAGCCACCACCAGGACTGGATCCGCTGGCCATATTCAAAAGTAGAGGTTTTCTTCCTTTTGCAGCATAATTCTCATAAACTATTAAACAGTCTTCGTTTATCACTTTCACTTCAGTTTTCTCGTAGGGAGCTCTGTTGTTAGGTAAAAGTCCACCAAGTGTCAAGATTGATTTATGATTATAGACAATGGTCATTTGTCGATCATTCAAATACAATGGAAATTCCTTGCCATCAATGGTATAACTGCGATTTCGTATCACAGCGAGAGTATTGAGCATGACAGTTACGCGAAGTCGATGGCGCATTTCATTAGCCAAAGTATGGTCCGGTTTGTCATCGTCGACATTATTATCATTATAAATTTGCAAATATTGTCTTTGTAAAGTCTTAAGACGATTAAATTGGTCAAGCCAAACTTGTGCATTCCATGTCAAACGGAAAATCTTGTGATCAGGCTGTGTAAGGAACGGCATAATATCTGGTTCGCATTGAAGCATTTTTTTGTCATACCATGTGTAACTATCGATCTCAGTTGCATTTGGATGAGGTCTACCAAGATAATTCACCATGGTAACATTAATATCTTTACCAATCTTGAGTGTTGCATGATTTAAACAATCATCATACAGATTTTTGTCATGTATCTTAAGTATTAAATGTTGTCCAAGATGATAAAGTATTTTTGCTTTTCCGGCAAAGAACTTGTCGCGAACAATGATGTCAGCATCCTCTTTCTCACAAACTGGACTCACAAGAAGTCGATGGCTAAGGGATTTTCTTTTTCGTACATATTGATAATCTATGTAGATGAAATTATCTTTCGCCCATTTGCGCGTCTCGTTTGTCGTAATAATACATGCATTGTTCATATTTTTGTTGAGTTCAATACACAGAGAAGAAGGTGAAACAATGGTTAACTGAATTGCGTTACATATCAAGTCTCGCAGTTGATTTTCAGTTGTCACCGCTGGTAGATCTTCCAAGAAGTCACAAAACGCACATGGATAAATTTGAGCTAACTGATCTCTTACAACTAAATTAGGGTTCAATGTGACGCGTATTAACTCATCGAGTGCTTTAGTCTTGATAAGGTAGATGTTCGGGTATTGTCCATCCCATTGAGTGCAAGCAATCGGCGCCTCTGCATTGTAGCTATCTATCCATGCACGGATGATTTCATTCACTGTCACAGAGCCAAGGCTGTTATTTTCCTTCGTTCTTTTGAACACAATATACGATATGAATTCAATTGTTTCACGAAATGAAACCATAACTGGATCGTCTGCATCCCATGCTATTTTGCCAACTACTTGAGTAAGGTGTTCTTTTTCTGCGTTGTTTCCAACACGGCAGTAAGCAATGCCAAAGTTGGAATAACACTTGACTTCAAGTGGCTCTATTCGAAGTACGACTAACAAACGTTGTCGAAGCTTCTGTTCGAGTTCATGATTATCGTCGATGTCTAAAGGTAGATCAGTTACGTATACTCTACTTATACATTCGTCATTCGATGCAGATTGTGTAGACACTGAAATACTTGAGTCTTCTTTTGGTGATGATGGACAATCCGCACTAACTCCATTGTTTGTGTCCATCGGTTCTACCTGTGTCTCTTCTGATTGACTTGACCTCTTCTTTTCCGCTGAGGTATTATGTTCAAAACCGTTTGTGTCATATTCAGCTGCTTTCATCGGATCAAGATCTGGATACACTACAAGAATAGAAGTTATCACATTGAGAAAAAAAGTTTTTATTCTCATTGAAAATTTTACCTCTGGGTGTTTCTACCGAATGCTTGTAGGATCCTTGTTCTTGGTCTCTGGCCGATGAAACTGCCGCTGGATCTCTGTCTTCAACAGAAGAAATAATGCTTCTAGTTGACACACGTGCATTTGCGGGTAGCGGTTTTAAGGCTGTGCAATGAGCACAACGTGTTGATGACTGTTCATTTTCCATCGAACACTGTTGGCATCGCCACTCGTTTTTCACATCACTAGAGCTGTCAGTATCCGCCGACGCTGAATTCATAGTGCCGGAAGCATAATGTTCCATCCTCAGGATATGAGACACTTTAAATATTTCAAATCTGGAAGAAAAAGAAAAGATTATACATATATACAATATGTTTAGTCGAATCCTGTTCAACAGAAAGAAGAACGGTATCCCCAAGTGATATTTCCAAAGCGAAATATTCATCGTGTAGCGGGAGATCTCAATGGAACTAATATAGAGACGGACTATGAAATTCACAGGTGTTGCATTTTATTTAGGTTTTGTGTTGTTTCATTAAAAATATAAGAGCACAATCTGCAGTACACGATGAACTAGTCTTAATAAAAGAAATTCTAAGGAGCAAACGTATATTCTCATTCAAAACATTCAAATATATTTGCTTCGTGTTTACTAGGGTTTTCATCGCGTCTGCTCGCTTGTTTTTCGATTATTAAGTTGAAGGATGGGAGTATTTTCTTCGATGATTATCTGTAATTTCATGACATTTAGCACCATATTTGCAAATAATACGATTATCTTTTTTCTCCGTGCCAGGAGGATGGGAGTATTTGTCGCAGTGTTGCGGATCTGTTACATCACGACATTTTGCGCCATATCTACATGGTGTGTGTTGAACGGACGTACTTCTTTGATCTGACGGCCGTGGACTGCCCTTTGTTAGTTGTTCAGGTAAAACTGTATGTAAAAATTTTTTAAATAATTACAATTAATGAAGATCGATATGTTTTACCTTTGAGAAGCTGTTCGTTAATTTCTTTCAATTCTTCTTCGTCATGTGAATATTTCTTTCGATGATCATCGGAGTCATCCTTGCAGTTCTTCTTTTTTCGACATGGAATCAGATAGAACGGTAAACCTATGTGAACATAACGAGATCGATGCACCGGTTCACAAATTTGTTTGCAATGTGCACCGGAGGTACAATAAGGCAGATCACGTGGTATTCGAGGATGACTTAGGTTAGGCTCGGGATTTCGACAAAGCTCAGCGAAGCGACAGGCATGCAGCCACTGTGAGTTGTGTGTGTTTGCATTGTCCGAGAATTGAATGGAGCAATTAATGCCCTTAGGGCACAGTTTCAATGATGAACTGTCACCAGTGCCAAAGAAAATATCCTTTAAGTGACTCACAGCAGATGCCGCAAAACTATATGAAGTCGTGTTTTTATCATCTGGTCGAGGAGGAGGTGTTTGTGGTTTATTAATTGTCACTTTCGTTGATTCTTTCTGAGTCATGAGCGAATCATCTTTAACGAAATCTTCATCGAATGTTGGATGTAGATCTTCTTGCTTTTTGAATGTTACAATCAAATTTCGAACCGGCACAGTTCCATTTCCGGCGCTTACGTGTATGAATTCTAATTTTTTTGTATTAAGTTCATGTCTGAGAAATTTGCAGAAGATCTTTTGATGATTGTAGATAGCGTTTGGTCCAGCATGATAAAGACTAACTGTTCCAGTTGCACGTTGGATTTCTAGACAGAGTGTCATAATATCATCGGTGTTACATCCCATATAGAAATCCGTAGATTTTCCTGCAAATCTCTTCTCTTTGAGAAACACTGAATGTTCAAACGGTTGGCCACTGTTCAAGTATGATATTTGTTCATGATATTCGAGACCATCGGATGGATAAAACACTGGTTTTGGAGCAACATAACAAACTAAACAAGAATGTTTTGTCGCGTTGTCATGTGTATCAATATTTGTAGCAGATAATGTCAACATCATATCTCCATTCATAAGCTGCCAATAGATGTAAACTGTGCTGTCTTCGGTTATACTTGGATCGTTATGACGGTATTGTTCTTCTGCTTGTGAAATGGTCAATGGTACAACATAATGATCATTTAAGTTCGTTGCCGGTATTGTCAAACAAGCACCACGAATAGGACGAGATACTGTTCCACGACCATCTGGACGAAATCGTTGGGTGAGTTCAGTTATAATAAACTTTTTATACTCGTCAGGGCTCTTGTCTGAAACAGTGAGACAATCTTTGAAAAGATCGTCCACTATTTTACGTGTATCTTCCGTCAGAGCTTGATGTACAGTTTTTGGCATATAAATATGTTCAATATAATCTAATGGGATCAGTTGAGGCAGATGAGCTTCGATGACTTCGTGCGAATCTACTGTGTTCCATCGTTCAAGAACCTTATCAAGATCAACTTCTGATGGTTTTAGCTTTGACTTATGGCTTGTTACGGCGATAAGCTCGAGAGCGGTGGCATATTCATAACCAGATACGGAAGCATGCATTTTGGTTTTATGAAATAGATCGATCTGTGTCGCATCCACTTTTGGATTTGGAGCAGTGCCAAACCATGGACGCCAGCTGTAACAGTTTCCACTGAAATAGGAGGTCCCTGCTTGAATAGAGAAATTTGCGTCAGGATGATGAAGGATTTCACGTTTGAGAACAAGAACTATATCTCCATAGTAGTGACCAGTATGCGGACCTAAGATGCTAAAAATCGTTTTGTTGGTTCCCAACTTTTTATCGACTTCATAGCCGATACCAGTCTTATTCGAACTCAGTTTGATGGAAGCCTCAGCTATTTGTTTAGTTTTTGCACGAATAATGTTCATATCTTGCGGATTGTTGAGTTGAACTGAGAGCACATGTCCTTTGCTTTTGATCTGTTCCTCACAGTCTTCTAAATAGGCAGCATTATCGGTATGCGCTGTAAGTGTACCAGTTAAATCACCTGCGTAAGCTTTTAAAAAGCCAGCTTTTGCATAAATATCAGTAACCAAAGCCGTTATGTATCCTTTGGCATTGTTTGCACATTCAGGTATTTTCAAACGTTCTATTTGTCGAATTTGACTATGTTGAAGAATTGAATTTGCAACAAATGCTGGTTTGCTTAGCTTATCCATATACTCGAGACTCATAAGATGACCGTGAAGAATGATGGACTCGAATATATCCCCTTTACAACGATGAACGGGTTGGATCGTCCGTATCCAATCTATGATTTCCACAGCAATAGACTTCATCGAAAAGTCTTTCCAATTTTGTTTTTCAGCATAAGCTAAAACGCGTTTAATATTATCGCTTTGATTTTGTACGAAGTTAATATCTTTGTTCAAGTGGAAGTACTTGACTACACCACTGTCCGTAAAGGTCATTGCATGACGGTATCTTGCTAAATGGCTTATGTCACTTCGTTCATCACATTTGTCACCATTTTTACATGCGATACGTATATCGCGAATGTTTGGATGTGTAAAGGAATTCAAATGATCTTCTTGGTTGAGCTTATTGCATTTATCGGCATATTTACATAGTTTACGAGGAACGTGAATGACTTTTTCCTCGTGCCATGCATTTGGATCATGACAATTTCTACCAAACACACAAACATGACCATAATCAGCACAGTGTTGATGAGCGACATGAGAAGCTTTTCCGCCATTCGAGCTCTGTGTTAATTCGCCATGAAACTGACAGTTATATGGTGTCCAAGGACATGGGGTTGGAAACGTATGTTTGTAGTTGTTCATATGATCTCTATTGTGAAAATTGGTACAGTGTTGTGCATGTTTACAAACAGGCATGTAATGACGACATGTACTACAGTGAGCTGAATTTCCTTTTTTAAACTCCAAACATTTGTGACTATCTTTGCACAGTGGTAAATGACGATATTGCTTCTCATGCGTTTCAGTTGTATTTTGACACACGCCACCAGCTGGACAAAACGAAGGATGTTCAAATCTTCGACTGTGCTCTTCGTCGTCAATATCCCGACATTGTGCACCATGTTTACATGGTTCGGAATGAACAAATGACGCTGTGTGAACTGCATCAGTTTTTTGCGAGCATGAACCCTGTGTCAACTGTTGAATACATAATGGTGGATGAGAAAATTCATTCTCATGTTGAGGATCATACATTTGACTACATTTAGCACCAAAGTTGCAGGGAGCCTGGCCAGATATTGAGACATCGCATACATTCACACCATCGGATGAAAAACGATAAGGACCAAATATTATATTAGCTTGATGGTTTAATGGATATGGTTCTATTGATTTGTCATTTAATTCGTCGTAAAATGGTTGAAAGTTGCCTTCCTTGTTCAGAGCTTGTCCTGTATTATGATCATCAATAATCGCAAAGACGATAGACTCGAAAAATCCAGCGTATTGTTCGATAACTGAGCGAAAGATTTGTGCAATGTGTTTGGGTGGATTTCTAAAAGCCCCACAGCCGAGGGCTGATAGAACTAAACAATCATGCTGATGGTGATAGGCAATCGAGAAAATACTCTCAACCTTTCGTCGCGTTCTAACTGCCGGCTTTGATGCTAACATGTTCCCATCTAATTCTGGATCTCGATAGGCAGCCATGGCCAACGCGCACACTCCTGTCAAGGGTACTTCCATGAAAGCATAACCTTCGTCTTCAGGTCGACGGAAAAACGTTAAACCTGATGTATAAATAGCACCATACGTATCCATGGGATACATGTTGCGTGCATCGTACGACGCATCAAGATTGCATGTCGACGTGCAACTCGATCGTTCAGATGAATTGTCGATATACTGATCTAGACCAACATCGAGGCTTCGAATATAGTCCGATCGTCGGAAGAGGTTTTCTTCTTGTGCTCCATCACCTTTTCGATAACCACCACCAGGACTGGTTGCACTGGCCATATTCAAAAGAAGCGGCTTTTTCCCTTGCTTTGTCAACTCCTCATAAACAACAACGCAATCCTTCTTGACTACTGAAACCTTAGTTCTGCTGAAAGGAAACTTTTTCAAGGGCATCGGTCCTGCCAAGGCTAGCGTTGACTGTTTATTGTAAATAATCGTTTGCATGTTTGGATTTAAATTTAATTTAATTTCTCGATCATCTATCATGTAACTTTTTTTAAAGATTATTCCAATGGTGTTGAGCATAACAGTTACCCGGAGGCGATGTCGCAAGTCATCAAATGTCATATTTCCATTCTGTTCGATTTGTGATGCGTTTCTAGTAGTCAGACTGCCTTGTTTTACTCGCTGAAATTCGTCTAGCCAATTCGT